ATGTCTTTTTCAATGTTTTCTGAGTTAATATTACCTCAATTTACAGATAAGAAGTGAGGCACCGTGATGAATGGTGACACAATTAGTCGTCTGACACCAGGCTTTGATGCTCATTCCGGTCACCCCACCTGCCTCCTTCCTGTAGCCACCGCCTAGCACATGGTCAGGCCACATTCACTTCTTAAAGACTTACGCTATCCACATACATATAGTTTTTTCTAGGAGGCTTAGCAATGCTTAAATGAGCCGGAAGTTGTCATAAGCACAAAGGATAGGTCATAAATGTTCACAAGATTTCTTTCTAAACTTGTAAAATAGTTTACATTCTCAATATTCATAACATAGTATCTGGAAAACTCCATTCTCATAGTAAGAGAAGAACAGTTCCTAGGAGCAATTAAAGGTGATTCCAAACCTTTTTCAATATGTAAACTCATAGCCTTTTTTTTTTTTTTAGTAATGCTACTCATTTTTTTTTATAATGAATACATTCACCTGAGTTATTCTGTGTTCTCAATATTTTTCTTTATCTGTATTGATGACCGTGATCAAAATAGTGTACCAATTCACCATTTAGGATGATAGTTAAAAACAGCTACATTGACTTACTATTATTTGGCTCCTTTAATTATGAAAACGGTAATACATATATTTTCAGTAGTATTGTGATTAGTAACTATAATACTAAGAAATAGCAATATAAGCTAATGCTATGGAGGAACTTAAATGGTCAGGAGAGAATTTGGTGTCAATAATAAAAACTCAGAGTTGAAGATAAGACAATAGGTAAGAGGCTAAAATATGAAACAGGTGGTTCTCATCTTCTTTAAGACCTAAATAAGACCAAGCAGTGACATAGAAAGCGTATCTATAAGACATGAAAATATCTGCTTAAATCAGTCAGTTAAAAACTCAGACTTTAGTCTAGAAAATACCTATAAAAGAAAATGTATCTATAAACATGAAAAACATGCTGATTAACTACTCATATTACAGAATGAGATGATATTCCAAGGCTGTGTGCCTCTATTTGCTTTATTCTACAGCCTATCCCCTAGGTAAGCTTTCTCAAGCATAATTTTGATAATGTCACCAGCTTGCTCAGAAACATTCATGGAGACCCATTCTTTTATGAGTATAGTTCACTCCTTTATCCTGACCTCTCCTATTCTATATTCATAATCGTATTTCCCTTCATATCCTTACCCAAAGCTACAAAATTATATGGACCTAGCCTGTGCTAGGTTAGAAACACAATTTTATTACATGTAAAAGTTGTATTATAAATGTTTACATAAATTACAGATTTTTATTGAATATAGGATAATTATATTCAATAGTAGATCAGTCAATTGATAAACTTATTTATTCTCTTATTTTTATGTCCTATTTCATGTAATTAAATTTTCCCTCCCTGTCTCTCTCTTTCTCCCCCTGTCTTTTTTTCCTCCCTTGAAAAACAGTTCTGCTTGAGATAACTTCATGCTGGCATTGGAAGAATCATATTCAAATATAAGTCAGGATTTCCAAACTTTCTTCATTGCCTAGGTTTCAAAATAATGATTCTTATTACAACAAGTATAGCATATTAGTACAATATCTTAATCTCTTGGACCCATAAAACAATCAACTCTTTCATCAATGGTATTAGAAAATTCTGGTCATTGGCGAAAAGCAGAAAAGCTAAATGAATGAAATGAAAATCTCTTTCACCATATGGGTACGACTTGGCCTATTTATGACAGGAAAAAGGGTAAAAGCTGAATGGGAAAATATAAGGTGCGAAACTGAAAATGTCAAACAAATGCAGCTTAATGCTTTTCACAATGCAAACACATTCTACTTTCCAAATCTTATTGTTGTAATAATTGTGACAAGGGGACCATCGGGAAATCGCTATTTTTCTAACTTTGCAAAAACACTGGCATACTACCATATACATGAGTAATGCAGTTGTTTGTGAAACATTTTCTCATTCCCTCCCCATACTGGCAATGCTGGAGAAAATCTTTGTTTGGGACTTACTTTGGAAGCCACCAAGAATGTCATAAATCCTTTGCACATTTTGGTATTTACTCCAAATAGAAACAGGCTCATGAATAAATACTGCAACCTTTTATCATCTGAGGAGTTCTTGTTATCAAGAAGGCATTTTACCAAATGTTAACACATGCTTATTTATTCTCATACTGTAAAAAGTGTTCATAAATATGGCCATATTTTATCATCTTTAATCAATTTTCACAATGCTTTTTTATGTATGCCAGAGGGTGAAATTACTGAATAATTTTTAATACTGAAATTTAAATCATAGCAAAGCCACAATTTATAAGAAGCCATAGCATGTAAATTTTCCTTTCTGATAATGAATGCCTCCTTAGCCATCTATGAATTTAATAAACTATAATTTTAAATTTTACTCTTAAGGAAGAAGGGCCTGTTTTGCTGCCCTAGTGAAAACGGGAAGCCGACATTCCAGTACTGAGAGATGAGAATATTGTGGTGTTGATAAAGTCCCTAGAAGATTCTTTTCTGATGCCTTTTTTTATAGCTATCAAAAGCCTGGAAGTACAGTGTTTGTTTACAATTACCATGACAAGAGAAAGACAGGGAGGGGAATTTAGTGAAGTTCCATTCTCAGATTGTTTTGCCTACAATTTTAGCCCAGAATCCCTTTCCTTGTGAAAAGAAATCTTTCAGCTCATTGTTTTTTCAGGTAGACAGGAGCGATGGAAGATTTCAAGTCCACAGGCCTGTTGTAAGTAAGTCTTATTCATATTAAAATACCTATCACACTGAAGATGTCTGACATCATTAAAGGTTCCTAGAAGTAGAATGCCACCTAGTACTTACTTTGGGGCATAGTTGCATACCAAGTAAACTGCACGTCGCCATACAGCTCCCCACACATTCATGTTTTGGCAAGTATGAATCGCACATCCTATCCGATTGGAGGTGGCCCAAACCATCTGTGAAAATAAACCCATGTACCATTATTGAAGTCAGAGCTAAGAAATGCATGGTCACCAAAATAGTTAAGAGCCTTTTTTTAAAGTATGAATCAAAAATTAACAAGGCAATTGAAATAACCTGTGTGTAATGTGTGCACATGGGGCCAAAACATCTCATAGGGCATCTGGGGTTGCAGTCCTGGGGATATGGAAAAGCATAGTCTTTCACTTCATCGTACCATGGCTTGACCAACTGGAGAATAGAGCGATATCTAGATGTGAAGAAAAACCATGAGAAGAACAGTGAGTATAGCAGTGGTCGTATAGAGTGGACTCGTTAGATCGTAAATTCATTATTCTGTTATGGATTATTCATGATGAGTCAAGAGCATACCCACCCCTCACAATTACCACCACTACCTAGTAGAAACCTCTATTCCTCCGAGTAGAGTCAACATAAAAATGCCCAACACTGGAGCAAGTGACCTGGTAGCTGTTTAAGTATGTGCCTGGTTGTTTCAAAAACAGAACTGCAAATATGGGGTTGTCGAAAAAGACATGACGCATTTTTGCAATGAAAAACAGAAAAAAAAAATACGTCATGACTTTTCCGGCAACCCAGTACTTTGGGAATTGTCTTCATCTTGTTTTATCTGTGTCAAAAATGTCTTCTGTAGGAACTTTATACGTGGTTAAGAGTTAGCTATATAAAAGTAGTTACAATACTGGAACTCCGTGTGGCTTTTTTTTTTTTCCTTAAACTTGTATCACTTTAATTTCAATAATAGCACACCTGATTTTCCTCCCCTATAAAGGAAGAGAACGGGTCTTTGGAACTCTGGATGATGACATTCCGTAGTGNCTCTCTCTCTCTCTCTCTCTCTCTCTCTCTCTCTCACACACACACACACACACACACACACACACACAATGTATCCTGCAAAGCGTCTTGACCCAGATAACTGAGTTATTCTCTCTGAAAGCGATTTCCTGAATAAGAACCATTGCAATTCCAAAATAATATGAGTGAAATTTTCGTAGTGATTTGATTTCCATAGTCAAACTTAATTGAGAACTGAAAGTCGTTCTTCTACATATACATAGAAATACAATTTGGTACCTAGTCCTTAGAAAATGATGCAAAGAGAGCTACTTTAACAAACCATAACTATCTGGGGTGTGCACACAGGGTCTTTTATAGATGTGCACAGACCCATGATGAATAGATTGATTCTTCCCCAAATGGGGACAATGAACAGATGGAGTGTCCTCATCATCTCAGTGCTTCTCTCCAGCATCCTTTACCTCCTGCTGACAGGACTCAAGATATAGGACCCTCAGGTGAGGCCCTTCTGAAGCTCTCCACCTAGTTTTTTGTGCAATAATCCTATCTCTGTGACTTTTCATACCTGTCTCCTAAATCTTACTCCTCTTGGGTCTCATCAGTTTTCTTAGGGTCTTGCTTTCTGTTTTCTAAAGTCACAACTGTTGACCCTAATCCAGTGCTTCTGGGTCAGTTGACGTCTCCTCTGCCTCTTCTAGAGCCCAGCACTGGAGCTCAATTTCTGTGCTAATCAAGAGCCTTACATGTTACTCAGTGTGGCTGCTCACCTGTGTCACCTACAGGTGAGTGTCGTGGCCATGTTCACTTCCTCAAAGCACCATGAAAATCAGTTTGTGAAAGAATAATCATTTTACAGTAAAATCATTAGGCTGCTCTATTTCCTGAATATTTCGGTGAGCTTCTTGTAGGCAGAAACCGTACCTCATTATTTTTGTATTATCAGAACATAACTACCAGCGTGCTATGCATGTAGTAAGCACTCAATACACCATTACTGATTCAGTAGAAGGAATTAAACAAAAGGCATGATTCGACACTCACGCAAGTTCGAGCATATCCTTTTGTGAACCCAAATAAGATAAAATATCTCCAGCATGAAGTCTGTGGTTGCTTCCTTAAATTATGTCCAGATATCACTGAGGTTATTTTGCAAACTATCATTTTGTGGGTATTATAAAAATGGGTGCTGAAGATGGTTTACCCCCTCATATATATTTTTGAATAGAAATTTTCTTATTTCTCTCAAGTTAACAACTGAAGCATATGATTGTCTGTGTTACATCACTGATTATATGTTTGCATATGTATATACATATACACATAAATGTGTATACATATATATATATATGTATATGCACATGCATTGCAGGTCAAAATATTTTTTATTCCTTAGAAACAAAACATAATTCTTTCGGAAAGATGTTTTGGAATTGGATGCATCAACTATGTCAATATACAATATTTTAATTTAGGCTTTAGAGGTAAGAAAATAGAAATGGATATTTGATTACCTCAAAAGATTAAACAAACATACTAGACAAACACTAATTTATACAATGAATAATAAAAGGAAAACAAGATTATTATAAAATATCTATAATATGTGCAAAACTCAATATATATATAGACCTATGATTCCCAGAAACCATTCTGTTTCTTGGAAGCAAACATAAGCTTATTTAAACCAGTATAGGTAGTTTGATGTTACTCCTGGAAAACAAAGATTGTCAGTACAGGAGCCCCCGTAACTCGGAGGACAAGCCGAACACGGCACCCCTACTTTATATGGTGCTTCTCCAATCCAGTTGCCCCTAGAAAGAAAAAAGGGGGGGGAAAAGAAAAAGATAGCATTAGTGTTTTACTTGCCCATTTAAAGAAATTGGATTGTGCCTAAGCACGTGACCATGTGTGTTGACATAATAACGATCTTTTTGACAAGTTTGTCATTTTCAAAAGGCACTGAAAGTTATATCCGTTTCTTATTTCTACACTAACTTATTCTATATGTCTTTTTCAATGTTTTCTGAATTAATATTACCTC